GGATGTAAGAAATTCAGATTGCTTTCCTCTTTTCTTTTCTTCTGCAACAGAGAGAATATTTAAACAGAATAATATTAAACATACCCCGGACATTCCCTGGTGTTAACCCAGATATATAGTCTTAATGTTTGGGTAAAAGGACAGCACTACAGTTGCCTGGGTTCATCCAGCGGATTGTTTAAGCTTTATATATACATTACTATACCAGGAGCTTTCTACTTACTTTCTAGAGAATTGCCTCTGATTTGTAATACCTTCCTTCCTTCCTTCCTTCCTTTTTTTTCTTTGTATTTAGATAAAACATTTTCAGAATCTGAAAATACAAAACAGTCTATTGTTAAGATACATTTATAAATTGAGATTGCTTAGATATATAGAGATTACTAAAAGGTATAAAGTTTAGAAATAAAAGAATCAGTTGATTTTTTTTTTCAAAATGTGATCAGTTTTCAAAGGGATAGTTGTGTTATCCTATTTTAGGACTATCACATGAAGATGGTAAACCAACACCGAAGGTGGTGAAGGTTCCTATAACACAATGTCATGTGCAACACATTGGCAGTTAAACCCCACCCCTGTGAAAACCTACCAATAAACCCAGCTTGTGTCAAGATTACAACACTTGTGTGATATAACCAATCTGTTTCTGTCCAGGCATTCAGGATCAGAAATGAGCTTAAGATATAGCACTGTCCTCCTCAACCCCTCTCTTTTGCTACACTTCTCAGTAATTAGGAATTTAATGGGTTGCTTTTAGCATGTTTCATGGAATTTGTCATTATTAAACAGCCTACTCACAGCTTTTAGGCTGGCTGTTAGGTATCACATTACACTAATGATAAATAAATACACAGCATCTAAATGGAGATAAACAGAGATACATTTAAGAATGTTATAATGATACGTATTTCTGAAAAGTATCAGTCATAAGGAATTGGCTTATTTATAGCAAAATATTGTTTGTATTACATTGTGATTGTAAATGTTTTGAATTATACATGCGATTTGTTTTTCAGCAATGTAAAAGCAGTAGCTTTCATTATGACAGTACTGAAAGCCTAGATAATTATAACAATTTAGTACAGTTTTATGTTGTCATAGAGTGCCTGTTATGCCATGCAGATGAAAGAATGCCTTCGTGGGAGAAAAGGAGCTCCATCGTGTTTAGACTCTGAACCAGATGAAAGGCCTTCCCTCCATTCCAACTGCCACTGTCCTGCCCTTAGAGAGAGAGAGAAGAACTAGCAGTTTTTCCTGGATTTAATCCTCTCCCACACTGTCATTCCTTTTTCCTTGTGCGTCATGTCATGCCTTATTTAGACTGTAAGCCTGATGATAGAGAAATATTAAATGAACAATTTGTAAGCTGCTCTGGGAGCTTCTGTGGCTGAAGAATGGAGTACAAATATACCCCAAATATACATACGGGCGCACACACACATATGTACACATTTATAAATAAAGATTCTGTAACAATGACAACAACAATAGTAATGGAATAATACTTGGTGATAGGTAGCAATACAGCTGTTTTTAATTAAGTATTAACTGTGAACCATTTTCATAGCTGTTTTATGTAATGAACGTGAAAGCAGAAGGCCACAAATTGTAAAGATTACTCTCCTAAAGTATCCAAGCTCTCTGAGTGCATTTCTTATCCTTGTTCAATTGTACAGAGGGTTAATTCCCAAGGCTTAAAAAATAAAACCTTTGGCTTTATTTACATCTGTGAAGTCTCCTTTATCAAGGCAACACCGCAGAACTTACAAATATGAAATTTACTGACATCAAGTTACTCAAACTGGAATAGCAACCTTTTTACTGCTTTTTGCTGGTTTATGTAGTCCGCTCATGTACCCACCTTTCAGCTGTTATTTTGAGTTTATTCAAATATGAGCATAACAATTTCATTACAAGATGCATTTAAAATATAAGATGGATTCTGACCTACATGTATGTCAATGATTTAAATTCTATCAGATTTCTATTTCTTTGGAGTTAATGCTACTTTTTTGCATGGTGCAAGGTCAATGAATATGATGCAGTATTTTACCGGGATCTTTGTGTGCCTTGTTGGACTCAGAAATCCTGGTCCCCTAGAGAAATTTACAGCATCCAGATGCAAAGCATCGTATTCATTATTGTCACCTAGAGATAAACACAAAGCCAAAAATCCACTTTGTTTGTGTTCACAAAATTTGTACAACCCTCATTTTGATTCTAAAGTGTTTTAAAAAGATTGTAAGAGGCCAGGGTTGTCTCTAATATGAAATGACAAGGAATTGATTTTCTTCCCTTTCATCATTAAAAAAAAAAACCCCGAAAAGCTAAGCTATACCTGGTGGAAGAGGCCCTGATTGACTTGAGGTGGCTCTTCTCCATCTGCCACCTGGCCTTATGTGAGCAGGCCCTGCCCTACACTTGGGGTGATTTGTTTGTGTTTGGAGGGGGGTGCGTGCTCTGGGGGTCATAAATCAGGTTGTAAATATGGATTTAACAAAACAGGGTTCACGAATCCCTTGCAACTTTTTGCACAGCTCAATGGTCACCCAGTTCTCTTATTATGTGAGTGCTCCTGAGGGTAATTGTATAAACAAAGTCTTCTTGTTATTACTGATAGAGAATCACTCCAACCACTCTCTTCCTTTGGAAGGCCCTTTGCCTTCTCTTACCTGTAATCTTTTCTGGACCTATGGCGTCTCTGTGAAGTAGGTTAATCTAAGAGCGTATGCTTGGTTCAAGGTGGGATTTGAAATGATGAGCTATATGTATTATGGAGAAAGCTTAGGTGTGAAAATAAAGTTTAGGTAGAGGAATGAAAAATTATTCAGGTTGGGTTTCCATTATCTTTCACATTTTCTATTAAACAGGGTTGGATGTGTTTTCTTTCTGCAATTCTCTGAAGATACTGTATAATACTGTCCCTCCAGCTATAGTTGCATCTACATTGTAGAATTAATAGTTTGAAATGACTTTAACTGCCCTGACTCAATACCACAGAGTAATGAAAACTATCGTTTTACCAAATCTTTCACCTTCTCTGCCAGAGTGTCCTAATACCTCAGTAAACTTACAATCCCAGGATTCCTTAGCATTGAGTCATGGCAATTAAAGTAGTGTCAAACTGTATTAATTATTCAATTAATATAGCCGGAAGCAGTACTTTTGCACAGCTATAACTAATGCACCACCTGCACCCAGTTCTGAACCTTCTTGTGATGGCATTAGTTACATTTCATTGAATTACTCAGACTGGAATTACTGGCAGGAAAAAGATAGGTGTAACTATTCATATAAACTTTAAGATTTTGCTTCATTGGATACAATTTCATTTCATTTATATTTTAATTTTGCTTTTTAATTTGTTGTTATCTTTTCATTGTACCCATGTCTTAATTTGAGTTTTAGTATTGTTAGTCACCCTACAGAAAAGTGGGATGTAAATGTAATAAATCAATAAAAATAAGCAAGGTTTAAATGGAACAAGTTCATTAAAGAAACCAAGATTTTTCTTAATTTGAAACTCGTACTTACTTCTATTTTCCTTCTGCTTTTTTGAAACCTACTTTAAATGCCCTGAACAGTGCGATCTCTGTTAAATACATTTACCTAGCAATGAAATGCAACTCATTAAAATGGAAGCCCTCACTAAAATTAAGTTTGAGAATGCTACACTTGACTGCTAACATCCCAGTCATTAAAATGGCAATTATATTATCTGTGAGTAATGTGGAAGTATATATTTGCTAATGTATTTAGAGGTGATCAATACTGCATCACTTCCCTCTGCTATAAAATAAAGAGGTTTGTTGGAAATAGTCTTGCTTGTATCACAAAACTTTAAAATTTTCTATTATGGCCTATTTTAGATGTTTATATTCGCCTAACTGTTTATATTGTTGTTTGATGGTTATTGTTATCCAAGCAAGAATAATAAAATATCAAGCCACTTTGAGTTTTCTTGTGGAGAGAAAAAGCTGAGTATTAATAACCATATTATTATTGTCGAAGGCTTTCATGGCTGGAATCACTAGGTTCTTGTGGGTTTTTTCAGGCTATAGGGCCATGTTCTAGAGGCATTTCTCCTGACGTTTCGCCTGCATCTATGGCAAGCATCCTCAGAGGTAGTGAGGTCTGTTGGAAATAGGACAATGGGTTTATATATCTGTAGAATGGCTGGGGTGTGGCAAAGAGCTCTTCTCTGCTAGAGCTAGGTGTGAATGTTTCAACTGACCCCCTTCATTAACATTTGAAGGCCTGCCTGAGCCTGGGAAAATCTTTTGTTGAGAAATGTTAAGATGTGCCTGGTTGTTTCCTCTCTGCTGTTTTGCTGTTGTAAGTTTAGAGTTTTTTAATACTGGTAGCCAGATTTTGTTCATTTTCATGGTTTCCTCCTTTCTGTTGAAATTGTCCACATGCTTGTGGATTTCAATGGCTTCTCTGTGTAGTCTGACATGGTGGTTGTTGGTGTGGTCCAGCATTTCTGTGTTCTCAAATAATATGCTGTGTCCAGGCTGGTTCATCAGGTGCTCTGCTATGGCTGACTTCTCTGGTTGAAGTAGTCTGCAGTGCCTTTCATGTTCCTTGATGCGTGTTTGGACAATGCTGCGTTTGGTGGTCCCTGTGTAGACTTGTCCACAGCTGCATGGTATACGGTAGACTCCTGCAGAGGTGAGAGGATCCCTCTTGTCCTTTGCTGAACGTAGCATTTATTGGACTACAGAAAATCCAACAAATGCTACGTTCAGCAAAGGACAAGAGGGATCCTCTCACCTCTGCAGGAGTCTACCGTATACCATGCAGCTGTGGACAAGTCTACATAGGGAGCACCAAACGCAGCGTCCAAACACGAATCAAGGAACATGAAAGGCACTGCAGACTTTCTCTGTTCTGGTTTCCAGTCAGCATTCAAAATATAAGCATCAGTTTCCTATGCTGATTATTTATTTATTTTTGTTTCCTAAGTTGGTGATTTTGTTTTGTTTTGCTGTTTATTTCAGCCTCCAGGCTAATACAGAGGCAGTTCCATTTCCAAAGGGCAGGGAACATAGGATCTGTACTACCTGATGTAGCTTCCTTTGCTGTCTGGACCATGTAAGTTGTATATATGCACTAAAGAAGTGGAATTTGTTTGAAGCTCTAGCCCCTGTACTCTATCCCTTTGTTTCTCTTCTCCTTCTCCTCCAGTGGAACTGTGCTATTGTATTCTATTCACTGTGAAGCAGGCCTGTAGCCAGGATTTTGATTCAGGGGAGTTGAGTTTGATTCGAGGGGGCGGGCTGAGTCTGAGTGAAAGAGGGTCTACCCAAGCAAACCTTTTGTATCGTTACCGCATACCCCATGCATATGGGATATATTGAGCATGGTGATTCATGATATGAATAAACATAACAGTTTAAATCATGTACCAGTAAGGCCTCCTCATGGACCACCATGAGAATTTGGGGGGGGGGGGTGAAGCCCCTCAAGCCCCCCTCCTCCCCTGGCTACATGCCTGCTGTGAAGTTTTTGTTTTGTTCTATTTTGTGGTAGTGTGGACAATGGACATACTTGTTCTTAATTGCAACTACATGAAATTATCTGATTTCACAATTGATGTCAATAGAAAACCATTTTTTTGTACCTAAGGACAATTCAAAATTATTTCTTACCAAAACCCAGGAAATGTGCTGTCCTGTGGAGAGAAAAAACCATCAAGGAGATGGTTTCTTTCTCCACTCTATAGTTATTAGGGGTGTGCAATATTTTCATTAGTCCTCGTAAGTTGGATAAAATTCATTAATTTTTTTCTTACAAGGTGATATCTGACAGGTAGGTGTGGCCCATGCCAAAAACTTGAAATTCAAAACTTACCTAATACATTTGGTTTGCATTTTGTAAATCTTGGAAACTTCTCAAGTCACTTTTATTTTCAGCACAAGGAAGCAAAGCAAAACCAAAAAAGACTGCCTTTTCTCTTTAGATTAATGGCCTCTTGCCATTAGGAGACGGAAAGCAGGGAGCAGAGTTCGCTGCGAAAGAAAGCACAGAACTCTGGGAAATGTAGTTTGAGAAGGCCAGGAGACCTACACCAGAGAATTTTAAAGGCCCTGCCCTAAACTACATTTCCCAGAATTCTGCTTGCATCAGGAAGTCCCAGTCAGGATAGGGGAGAGATTTGTCCCTCCATTGCAGCTGCCAGCCAGAGTTCTAGTGAATCTGCAAAGAGTAGGACTGACTGATATTTCTAGTAAGTAAATCTCTGTGCTGGACTGGGGAAAAAGTCCCTAAATAGATGCCCCCTGTGGGTCCCTTCTAGCTCACTAGAGGAAGCATATTAATTAGTTTAGCGGCTGGAAGGCCATCTGTCAGGAGAGTTTTGATGTTGCCCTTTTGCCTGGATGAAAGGGGTTGAGTAGATGGCCCTTGTGGGTCCTCTCCAACTCTAGAATTCTATGAAAATGTAGAATTGGTTGATATTGGTTTCTGTTGGCTAATATGAGAGACATTCAATGAAATAGCTGTTGTGGCTTTTTTAAAAAAATGTTTTTATCAAAAACTTTTTTAAAAACCCTATAATCAGTGGGTGTATGAATATTTCAGAACTTTGAGGGGAACGATCCCCTGTTATATTATGTCATTGTATAGAACATTCAAGGAGATAGCTCTTGTAGCTTTTTTTTTAAGTTGCTTATAAAAACTTTGAAAATGCTTCCAAAAATCAGTGGATGAGTGTAACATTCTGAAATTTGATGGGCTAACAGTGGTAAATGTGTTCTACCACTGTAGCAAATTTCACCCCAGTAAAACCTTGGGAGGAAGAAGCCCCTGAAATTTCCCCAATTATAGTTATGCACAATTAATAACAAAAAAAATAACGGAATTTTGATAGTTTTGTTATAATAATGAAGTTTCTTTTACTAACTTTAGAAACACTTTAGAAATGAAACATCAGCAGCCCCTAATTTTGTAGACTTTTGAAAGTTTTTTTTTATCATCACGCATGCCTAATCCTATGTCTCTCCTTTTTCAACAACTCGATTTATTTTCTCTTTCATCTGATTGATAGGGCTTATTCCTTACTCAATCAGTCAACATTCCATTGAGCCCCAGTAGGACTGTTGGGGAATTCCTTCTCTCACCCCCAGTAGTGTTCTCTTTTTTCTAAATGTTTAATAGTAATTAGCAAACTTCAGGATAGCCCTGCATCTATTGGCAGCTTGTAAATTCTCAAGTCTTTGAGCACTGGAGAAGTAACTTTGTGATTTCTCAGCACCTACCGAAATCAAGTAGCACTAGAACCAATGCATTTCATCCCTATTCTCTGTCGAGAGATCAGGTAGTCCAGAAGAATATTAGGATCATCATGAAATTTTTGGACTTCGAAACAGAAAAAAGCTCAAATGGAGCTTTCCAATTAAAAAGTTAGAAAACTCTTACTCTTTTTGTATAGTTATCGTAAGCTGAAATTAGTATTTTCATACATTGGTTCTCTCATTCTAAAACAAACTACGCACAAAACAACAAGCACAAAATGACTTTCCTGATTAATAATAAAACCCACCAACCATGAATTCTATGTTTTCTAAATATATATATAAATACATCCAACGGCAGCTGGCATAACACAACTTGCACATATTTTATGCAAAACCATTCTTTAAATGCAAGAATGTTATCAAGATAAATAGCCCTCATCCCCCCCTCTCTACCCCCTCCCCTCCCTAGCCTACCCCACCCCCATCCAGTGTCGATGAATGTTAGTATGTTGTGATTGTATATCTGTTGTTTTTTTAATATTTGGAAAACCCAATAAAGATTATTTTAAAAAAAAGAGAAATAGAAATTATTTTGCAATCAAGGCAAAATAAAAACTGTTTCAAATCCAGCAGTTAGTGTGCTGGGTTGATTTGGCCAAGTGTATCAGGCACAATAGGGTATCCACAACCAATTGCAAAATTAAATTGGCACCAAGTTTATATATTGCAGATAAAGAATATCAACATAGGATTGGATCTAGTCATTTGCTTACACACTTCACCCAGTTTGCTTGCTGGATAGCCCTGGAATAACAGATCTGATGTTACATTTGGGTAGATATATCTGTAGGAGAATAGGAGAACTGGAATGCAATGGTTGTAGTGCTACCAGGAAGTGATCCAGAGCTGAGCCCTTCCCCCTCCCCTCAAAAAACCCTGGGAGAAACCCTGGTTGATTATATCCCAAGAATCCCTAAGAAGACCCATGCCTTACATATCGAAGTGACAAAACCATATCTCCCATCTCCCAGTTAGCTCCAGTACAATGCCAAAAACACCTCAACGATTTGACAAATCAGCTTTTCTGAATTTTATAGCAAACAGAACTATGCTTACAATTCAGATAATAAGAATCTAAAATTAGGGAGAGCAGATGTGAAGATGCTCTCATGCTGTCTAAGATTAGGCTGGAACAAGATGAAGCCTCTATTTTTCCCTGCTCCACCCATCCTGAATATGACCTATTTTGACAAGTTAACCTTTCTACCACTTCCACAAATCCTATCTAAATGTGCAGCTGCTGAGCTGGGAGAAACTGATATATTCCTAGGAAATATTACGCAGCCTCTGACCTCCTTCCGACCCTAAACTAAGCCCCATCCCAGTAAGTTCCCATTCTTTCCTGCAAAAACAAACAAGTGAGGGTTTGCATTCTTCATCTAGCTGATATTGTTTTCTACCCTTTTCCCCATCCATGTTTCCTTATTACTGCTGTTTTTCTCTTCCCTTAAAAACAATTGTGGATAGAAAGATGGAATAGCTTTTTGGTGTCTTTTGATTAGTCATGCTGGGAGCCACTTATACTTAGTAAGGAACATACTGTATATGCCTCTAACATACACTCATCCTATGAGATACATAATCACATCTATTAAAAATCCAAGTGATCTGTGCAACTGAATGAAAACAGTCCTCTTTTTAAAATGTGCCCTTAGATTTTACTGAATATAAGAATGGGGACAAAATATTTTAAAACATAATGCAAAATGCATTTTGAAATGGTAGTGACTAGAAAAATGCATCCAGTGCAAGACCTCATATGAAACACATTTGTCAGCAAATAAGGTAAACTGTTTTCACATCAGTAGTTTTAAATTGGCCAAGTGAATGCTGGCTATATTGAAACTAGAGCTTGGGAAGTGTAGCTGACAGTCTTATATGATTTAGGTATATTACCAAATTACTTTCAGTCTTACAGCAGTTTCAGCAGTTTCCACCAGGTGTGAAAAAAATAGTTCCAAAAATGAATAGTATGTATCTGTTTGCTTAAGTAATGTGATAAGATAACAGGCTGGTGGATAAAGTCCATTATATCACACAAGAACAAAAATATGGAAACATGAGACGATATATGATTTTTACACTTTTGGCTGATCAAGTTGCAAAAACATTAGATTTGTGCAAAACCATTATGGTTTTTTCTAGCTAAAATTTCCCAAATTATTAAATAATCTCACAGTGATTGACATTTTTGAACAGCGTGTCCAAACAGTTTGTGATATCATAACTTGTTTGTTGAGAGTAAGGACCTCATCCCACCTCATCATAATTTTCCTAGATTCAAGGAAAGGTCTATATAATTAGTGCGCAAAATGGGACTGGGATGCCGCTTATATTTTACAAGAACAGTTTTTGTGGCCCTTGAAGTAACTAGATTTGAACCACCACCACCACCCCGACTCTTAAAAGAGGATAAATGGCAATTTAATTTTCGAATGGATTACATTTTTCCATTTTTAAATGCTGTTTTTGAAAACTAGAAATCATATTTTGGACAGCTTGGGCTTTTGTTTTTTGTTTTGAATCACTGGCAATAATTGTGGCTACTAGATGGTCCAAGAAGCAGAAACAGGCCCCCTAACTTGCAGTTGCCCTCTCCTGCCTTATCATTGTGCTGTAAGGGTGACTGAAAAGAGGGCTATGGGCAAGACATGAATCCATTCCATAATTTTTATCTTCCTATTCTCCATCTCAAGATCCTCCTCAACAGATATCAAAAGTATAGATAGAAGGCAAAATTCCAGCCAGCTTAAAGCAAGCTGTTATAAAACCGCTGTTGAAGAAACCATCACTGGA